CTTTGGCCCGTGAACCTTCTTCCACATGCAACCCTTTCTCTGTGTCTTCTGTCACGTGGACATGGCCCGAATTCGTCTGTGCCACATCTGGCTCTTCACTGTGCATTTCAGCATGCTCCTGTGGATTCATCTCTGTCTGCGGCTCTGCCTCCTGCTCCGGATCGCTCTTGGCTGTCTCTGTCTTAGCTCCTTCTTTTTCTTCTGCCAGCTGCACCTCCGCCTCCTGCTCTGCTGTGACGGGCCTTTCCTCCTGCACATCTTTGTCTGCCTCGGAGTCTGTCACCGATTCTGGAGGATCTTCTGTGCGTCTCTCTTCCTGTCCCTCTCGATCCCTCTCCTCGTGTGGTTTGTTCCAGCCTGACCCCGTGATCTGAGCTCCTTCATCTTGTCCTGTCCCATTTTCATCTTCCTTGCTTTCCGCTTCATCCTCAAGGTTCCTGAGAAGATCCTGCTCCTCTCCATGGCTGATGTTTCCCCCGGCTGTTTCTAGAGTTTCGTATTCTCCAAACCCCCTCATGTTGTCGGCTTCTGTCTGCTTCTCACTCAAGATCTCCTCCTCCTCAGATGGCAGTGGACTCTCCTGGGCTGCTTCTCTAGGGTCATCCCTTCCCTCTTCCTCTTCTCCTTTTGAACTTGACTTTTCTTCATCAGCCTCTATATTGAGATTTCCCATCTTATCTGCTTCTCTGGATTGAAAGTCCTCTTCCCTTTCTTCTTTCCCAAATTCCGATCCAACTCGTCCTTCCTCGTCGCTCATCGGTCCCTCAGATTCCGCGTCCTCCTCGGGCGATCCCTGGGTGTTCAAATCCCAGACTGCTTCCTCGCTCTTGTACTGGATCAGAGAGCGGGTGTCAGCCAGGGTGTTCTCCAAAGCGTAGCCGTCGGCGCTCTCCAGCTCTTCGCCGTCTGTCCTCCAAGACTGGGACGCGTTGGGAGAATCCTCTTCCTCTGCGGATGAATCCACTGGCTCCATTTCTGGGGATGCGTTCAGATTATCGCTTGGTTTTCCCTCTGCTGGGAAATGGGAGCCGGAAGGTGGCTCAACAGCCAAAATGGCTTCCTCCTCCCTGCTCATCTGCTCCGTTTCATCTTCAGGAGTCTCCCTGCCAGCCGAGCCCTCCTCTCCCCAATATTCAGCAGCTGTTTCGCTGTCTCCAAAAGCTTTTTCCTTCTCTCCTGTCTCCTCTAGGTCTTCGGCCTTAGTTTCTCCTTTGCCTTCCCCCGTCACGTGATCCTTTCCGGCTTCGTGTTCCGAGAGGCGGTCTGATTCTCCTTCGCCCTCATCAGCAGCACTCCTGTCATCTCCGTCTGCCTCCTCATTGTCCCACTGTCCCACTTCATCACCTCCCTCTGCATTTCCTGATCCGTTCTTGGGCGGGGCTTGCTCTTCTGGTTTCAGAGGAGGCTCCCCAGCAGCTTCCAGTGGCTCCTCCCATGCACATTCCGAAGTGACTCTTTCCCCGTGGCTCTCCTGGACGAACTGCTGGAGAGCAGGGGTGACAAGGTCTTCAGGAAGTCCGCCTTCAAAGGCACTGTCTTTCCCAAGCGGCTCTGCTACCAGCGTGCGCTGGGGCTGGGGATCTTCTCGGCCTGCGGTGTCCCCTACTGTGGGCTCCTCAAACAATGGCTCCTCTTTGAGAGGTTTGGGGGGAAGGATGGGGGATTCTTCCCTCTTTTCTTCAGTTCTGCTGCCGATCATGCTTTCTGGGTGGTGGGTGTCAGCCATTAACTCGTCCATCAGCTCCGGTGCCCATGAGTCCTTTGCGCCTGCGCTTGCCTCTGTTGCTTTGGTAGGCGGCTCATCATCATCATCTGACACTTCGGTGTCCACCAAGGCGCCTTGAGGTGGCCTTTCTAGGAGGACACTGGAGTGCTGAAGGGCCGCTATGCACGGCTCCAGAGTCTCCTCTTGGTTCCCAGCCTCGAGCTCAGCAGTAGCGCCATCTTGCTCTTCGTACCTTTCCAACTCGGACTCCTGGGTCACCAGTCCTCCGTGACTAACAGGAAGGGTGGAGGCCTGCTGAGGTTCAAGGAGATAGCCCAGTTCAAGAGTCAGCCCCAGAGGTGCCCCCTCTCCTGCGTCGGGCTGCGTGTCGTCTTCTGTCTCTCCCACCTTCTGTGGTTGGTCGCTCATGGCTCGCTCCGCAACGGCCTGGGGACGGTCAACAGTCTCGAGTGCCTGTGGAGCCATTCCCAGAAGGGCTGGAGTCGACGTAGCGTAAGTGACGGCCTCGGTCTGGGAACAGAGCTCTGGCACGGGCTCGTCATCCTCGGGCTCCTGGCTGTCTGCAGCCCGAACGGTTTCCTGCTGTTCGTCTTTATCCCCTACCACCTCGCGATTGTCTTCCGATTGACCTGCGGGCAGCTGGAGCTGGACCTCGGACGGAAGGGCAGACCCCTGTGGTGGAGTCGTGGAAAGAAGTGAAGCCGGGCTGACCTTTGACCTTTGACCTTCCTCCCCTCTTCCGCCCTTCGAAGCTTCTTTGGAGCAAGCCGGTGGCCAGTCTACCTGCCTGGATGTTTCAACATCCCAGTTCCCCCTCTCCTGTTTCGTCTCCTTGATGGGCTCTTCTGCCCTTCGGGGTGCCACGACAGCGGGCGTGTCTTTCAGAGCTTTGCCCACAGGGGGCCGGGAGGGTGCTGCCATCGTGGGCAACTTGTTCCGCGTCCCTGTTGTGCCAGGCGGCGGCATCTTGTCTGAGCCAAGCAGCTTCGCAGAGACCAGGCTGACTTGACGGCCCCTGGCGAGCGTTGTTTGGATGGTCTCCCGCACTCCTTCAGTGCCAGACTCTCCATCTGGGAATGGAAAGACAAGACAGCCTGAGTTGGTACCCGAGGCCCCTCGGTTGTGTGAGTGTTCAACCCACAATGCAGCGCAATCGTCAACAGGAAGCATGGATTTCAAGTACAGAGCACAGAAAACAATCCCCTTGGAGATGGCGTCTAACATGCTCGAGTGAAATACAAGTACAGGGCCCTTAAACCCGGACAAGCCTGTAGCCTTGGCTATCCGCCTTTCTAATTTGACTCAGAATGAAGACTGTGCCCAAGGTTTTCTGCTCTTTACAAAAATCCCAGACCTTTGAAATCTTTGCATCTTCTAGGTTTCATGTCGCCCGGGGTCTCGATTCTTTCATCAAACTTGTAATTGAAGGAATGCTTAATTTGATCACTTTTCAGGGTTCTTTTCTTCCTGGGAGTGATCGAAATTTCCAGGTGAGTTTGGAACATTTTTGTAAGTGACTCTTAAGAGTCATCTGATGTGTTGGGTTGACGAGTAAAGTTCTAGTTAAGAATATTATTGGCTCAATTAAGGACAGATTATCAGTGCAATTAAAGTCTCACTAGCCTCAACAGTGGCTGGTGTCACACAACCCCGATCCATGTGGATAAAGACTGTGTAGACGAATCTCCTCATTTTTACCATCACACACAGGAATAAACACAGGGGAGTACCCCCCTTTCAAATTCCATCGGATGTCATCGTGTAACCTGAAGTTCTGTGGGTGTGGGGGTGGGGGGCGGAGTCTGGATTTGAGGGGCAGAGTTAGCCCTGTTTCACCTTGCTGTGGTGAGGAACTGAAGGATTTCCTCCCTCCGGCAATAGCACGTGGGCAGGGAATTAGGATCAGTTTCAATGGAAAAGGAACTGGGATTCGGCATTGGGGTTTCCCTAGGCTCCTGTCGTGACACATGTGCCTATTGTCAGCTCACACCACTAGATCAGAGCAGGAGGTGAGTATTTCCGTCCATCTGTTGTCAATTACAGGAAAGGAAGGCCATATGGCTCAGTGCCCTCTGGGGACCACCATAGCCAGATTAAATTACTCAGTACATTTAAGTAAGTGGGCTGCACCATCTCTTAAGTGCACGGGGCTCGTATCTATCTACAGGTCTTATGCCCTGTGACTCGTGAGTGAAAAAGGTTTTGTAACAAAATGATTTTAAACCCACCCCCTTCTTAATGGAGCAGCTGTCTGATCTTCAGTGACAGCGCCTGGGTTATTGTGTGATGTGCTGATACTGCTTCTCAATAACCAGGCCCAGTCGCCTGCAAGGAAGCGGTGACATGTGACACAACAGGAAGTGTTGCGGGGGGAGGCATTTGATTGCTGCACCATCCGTCTTTTTGCAGATGGTAAGCAAGCATCAGTGCAGCACTAAGTTCCTCCCCTTCTCTCAACCCAGCCACACGCCCACCTTTTATTAGATCTTTTGGCTTTACTGGAGGAAACTGGGGAGAAACCGCCAATGATTTTTCATTGTCGGCTGAGCACCCCCTGTGCCCCATGTGAGGCATTGCTCTGCCCGACCCCTCTTCAGAGAACGCGGTGTTGTGCCCACTTTTCCAGTGGTTACTTTACTTACGTCTGGGAACAAAATTCAGCTGGAGGCTCGCCGAAGGCACCTTAAATCTCAGGCTCTCTGTATCCAGGAGGGCCCTGGAAAAGAAAAACAGTCTGTAACTTTAGGTATTATTATTATTATTATTGATAATAATAATCAATCAGCTGTATTCTTATAAAGTATATTTCTCATTCTATTCTTATTCCTTATTGCTATTCTCAAGGTCTCAAATTGACCACAGAACAAAAGTGAGTATTGAAAATCTAAACGTAAAGTTTCGATTATAATTGTTTCATGTCCACTGGATTATTCATCCATCTATTCCTGCCTTGTTTCGTTGTAGGTACAAACAGTGTACCTGTCAGGAACTCAAGCTAGTTTTAATGCAGTTTTTTACGTTTCTGTGCGGTAAGAAAAAATTCTGCTTCCCTCTGTGACAGGCTTTGACATTGGTGGTATAGCTGTCAGTAGAATCAAAGATTTAATGATTGTGATACACCATGCCTTTTGAATATAACTGTTTTAGACAGTATCCCTTTCGGCAGAGTCGGTTTCAGGCTGACAGATTGCAATGACATCATCGTGTCTCGGGGGGTGAGGGGGCAGGGCAGCGGAGAGCTCCTGTCGCTGGGGGCCTAGTGGGGGTGGGAGGGGGGGCTGGCCCTGTTGTTATGGAAATAAAGTGGTGGCTTTCTCATTGTGAGACCATCTGGAGCGGAGAGCGGACTCCCCTCTTCCCCCTCTCTCACACTCAGGCACTCACAGACACATGCTGACACATGCAGGGCATGCCTGACACACAGCTACGATTCTCATTTGGCTCTTTTTTTCACGTCACGGTGGTATGCCATGGAAGGTTTTGATGCTTTAGCATGTCCCCCCGTTCATTCATTGACAAATGCAGAACCAGAGTGATTATTTGGGCACTTCATAAACCTCCACCAGCAATAAGACAGTCTAAAGTGAAAGCTCTGCTATAGGATACAGAGGCTTCAGGACTGCTATCTGTGTGGAGCGTGCTAGGGGCTGCTCCACCAGTTAAACTGCACAGCCTGGACCCAGCCTTGCCAACAAGCCACTTCAATTCAAAAAGATTGCTTACGGGCAGTTTTTATTTCCCAAGAGCTGCTTCAGAGGCTGGAGTTGAGAGGGGCAGCATGTAAGATTTTGGGAGGCCAGGATAGCTGTATACTAACCTCCCAAAATCTCTCACCCTAGCTGTAAGAATGCGCTGGATCAGGAAATGGTGGGAGCGTGACCATGCTTATGCATCTCCAAAGACTAACGCCAGTCGTGTTGCTTGCCTACAAAGTCAGCACCCTGCAGGAACTGAAGGATTGTGGCTGGAGGAGACCAGACCGAGGGAAATTAAAGACAGGCCAGGAGAAATTAAAGTTAATTTCTTCCCCTCCTCCTCCCTGCCCCGCCAACACCCTCCCCTTACGCCCGACATGTCCAGTTCAATGGCCTGAAAGCTGCGCTGTTTTTTTTTTCTCTGGCTGGAGCTGGTGGGGCAACAGGTTCAATATGAAGGAGCAGCGGAGTGTGACCCTACACAGCCAGTCAGCGAAGGAAAGACCGGCTCTCGTTCTGCTGCACGAAGGTGCCGCTCAGGTCGGAGTGCTAATCCTTTCCTCACCCCCCAGTCCGGGTTCCTGGGAGGAGCGGGCGCTGTGTGAATGACGTCTTCATCTTGGAATCCAGACAAAGAAGAGAGGACCTCTGGGAAAGAAGGGGGAGGGGGGTATCCCCTTATCTGGGCTCATCCCTGCAACCTCCCTAAAAGGACAACTACAGATGCCCAAGTGTGACCCCCCACGTGCACACAGGAGGAATTTACAGGGAAACGGCTTTAGAACCAAGAGCTGGAGGCGGCCCTTTACACAAAGGGTTGTGGGTGGGTGGAACGAGCCGCCCAGCCAGTACCATTGCTGTTTTCAAGAAATGTGCAAGACACAATGCCACCATGGGTCAGAGGTGAGAGGAGCAAAACTAAAGGACGAAATCTGAGATTAGTTTAGTAATATTTGTTTAAAAAGGTGGTTGGGGTGGAATGTGGAGCCTTAAATTCTAACATGCGTTTCCTTTCCTACGGCTAACTGATCTCTCCTTCTGAAACGGGTGGAGACAACACAGGCCTGGCGGAATAGGGTTACCTGTAGGTGGCCACCTCCAGCCCCAGGGACATCTTGAGCTGCTGCAGGTTCTGCCTGTCCGCCAGGAGGGCGGCGATCTGTTCGCGCAGGCTCTCCTTCTCCTGCTCCAGGGAATCTATGTGGGCCTGAAAGAGGAGAAGCAAACAACAGGTGAGGAGAAAGGATTAAGAAAGGCAAAAAGGCGCAGGTTCCCTCTCTCCGAGCCTCAGCTCAGCTCTGTGGTTCAGTCGTCGTGGACTGGTGATGAGATCAAGTCATTCGCCAATCAGGTCCGCCCAGGAGGTGGCGCACCATCACCAGAGTGGTGCTTGGCTGGGATGGCTTTTCTGTAAAAAACAGCACTCCCCCCCCTCCACGATTGGCCAGGGACTTGCAATGATATCAGCGGGAAACAAGCTGCTCCGCCAATCAGTGCCAGTTCTCCTGTCAGGCTCCATGGGGCTCTCGGTGTATTGAAAGACAGGCGGGCATGTCTGAGCAGCGTGTCCCAATCTGAGCAAGTGCAGTAGCCTGGGCCAGAGAGATGAATCTTACAGCTACTGACAATTCACAATCAGCTGGTGGTGAATGAAAACAAGTTAGCGATTCCTTTATTTTGAAACAGATCTTCCCACTTATTCTTGTCTTGCAGGGTATTGACTTTTTAGACAGTACCAGTGTTGGTGTGAGGTGTGTTTGAGTGAGAGGCTAACAGATGGGTCATTCTTGTACACAAGTGGCCTGGTCTTATACTTCAGCATGGAGGAAGCCTCTTCTCACAATCACAGTGAGCACGTCTCAAAGCTCAGCTTTTGGCTTTGGACTGTTTACTTGTGCCACTACGTCCGACAGCATGAATCAACACAGAGTAAGGTCAGTGTTTGCCTTTTATAATAACAGGCATTCAAACTCATCCAGCCGTGAAGTCAACAGGTACAGAAATACATGCAATTAAACAAAGGCGTAGCAGTTCAGTTTCTCAAAAAAAGCATTTAAATCTCCCTTCTGATGAGCACATAGCTGGAATCATATCAGTCCGCATGGAGAGTAGACGACAGCCAGTCTCCCTGCTTACAGGGCTCAAAGGAATCCTGTGAATCAGGTTCCAGGTTCTCAGCATTGATGGTTTAATACAGGATAAAGGGAAAAACTGGTCTAGTTAAACATTAAATGGATCATCTTAACCCTTCTCCCCGGTGAAGAGCTCTTTATAACTTTCGGAGACATAGACAAGCCTCTGTATTCCCAGAATTGGGAGATGTTGGATTTAAAAGATTTAAAGACAGTGTGCAAAGTTCTCCAGCCAGGGGCCACTGCTCCTCGCTTTTCCCACTTCTCGGTGGTTTGTATCAAACTCTGTACAGCCCATGACACCCCAATATCCCGCATAGCCCCCATCCCGCCCATTTCCAAGCTGATCAGCCTAAATCCTTCCCCTTTCAATCTCACCCCACATTCCCCACCACTGAAAAAAAATGAAGGCAGCAGGACCGGATCATTAGCATTTAAAATGAGCCCCACGCTTGGGATTGTCCGGATCAATCCCGCCCAGCCCCCGGCTAAAGAAAGATGGGACAAAGGCTTTCCAATCTATTTAGTGGGCTATTCAAGCCCCCGGCTATGTGGAGGCATCTGGGAGAGACTCCCAGGGGCTCGGGGTCTGGGATCTGGAATCTGCTCTGAATTCAGCTCCCACCCTCACAAAGAGGCCGTTCCACACTCTACACCAGCCAAGCACAACCAGCCGTTACTGCTCAGGAGCTTGCAAGCCGTCTAATCAGTCTTAATCAAGCTGCAGAACTTCTGAAATGGGGCCCTATTGTTAGGTGCAGGAGAATGCATACAAGCTGCCTGCTCCTTCTGTTTGCCCTGGGCACGAGGACACGACAGGATGGTTTATAGTGCTTAAAATAATTTACTGTGGGGAGCTGCAGTAACAGCACAGTGCAGTGAAGCCCAGTGAGATCAGGGTAAAAGCACGGTACAGTGCAGTAAAGTCCATTGAGATCAGGGTTAAAGCACAGTACAGTGCAGTAAAGTCCTGTGAGATCAGGGTAAAAACACAGTAGATCAAAGCCCTGTGAAATCAGGGTAAAAGTAAAGTACAATACAGTAAAGTCCAATGCGATCAGGGTAAAAGCATAGTACAGTGCAATACAACCTGATGAGATCAGGGTAAAAGTACAGTAAAGCCCAGTGAGATCAGAGTAAAAGCACCGTAGATTAAAGCCCTGTGAAATCAGTGTAACAGTACAGTACAATACAGTAAAGTCCAATGAGATCAGGGTAAAATTACAGTGAAAAGCAGTAAAGCCCAGTGAGATCAGAGTAAAAGCACAGTGCAAAGCAGTAAAGCCCAGTGAGATCAGAGTAAAAGCACAGTGCAAAGCAGTAAAGCCCAGTGAGATCAGGGGGTAAAAACGCAGTACACTAAAGCACAGATAAAGGCACAATAATATATGATCTGTAAGAAATCACTGCAAAACATGGCAGATTCCCGATTTAAGCACGGTACAGCCACAGCAGGTGAAGGAAAAATCTAGTTTCAAAGTCAGTCCTGGAAGTGGTGATCTGAGTCACCACCCCTCCCCCCACCCCCTTCACAGAGATTGACTGGCCAATCTGCCTATTTTTATAAAAATAAAAACAAGTTCACGCCAGAGATACTTAGCCAGGGCTATAACTACTCCGAGCAAGAAAAAATACAAACAATAGTGAGTCACCCACAATAGGGCAGTAGAATAATCTTTATAGACTGCAGTAGCAGATGCCAAATCCCTCACTGACCGGCTCCTGCCAGCCATTGTCTCCTCTTTACAAGTCACCTCCTACAACAGCTTTGGCCAGAAATGCCAAACTCTCTGACTCAGTGGTCTACTAATCTAAGACAACAGATTACTGGGCTGTTGCAGAACAACCGCTGGCACCAGTGCACTTCACCCATCTGCAGAGCCCTGGTCGTGGTCAACGAGGGGAGCAGCAGCATGGCACACTGCTCAGTGCTTGGGACACCTAACTGGAAGGTTGTGGGTTTGAGTCCCAGCTGAGACACTGCTGTTGTGCCCTTGGGTAATGTACTTCAACCCAATTGCTCCAGTAAAAATATCCCCAGCTGTATACATGGATGCAAATGGGAACACCAGCCCAATAAATTTGTAGTAGCCAGCTCTAATAGCAATGAGCCAGGTATGTTGTTGCCCTTCTGTTACATGATAATATATTGTTGTGGGAGTGTGGAACAAGCTACCCATCCGTGTTATTGAAGCCGACACCCTGGCTTCTTTCAAGAAACGGATGGATAAGATCATCCAGTCCAGACAGGAGGCACTTCTTTACACCAAGGGCGGTGGGGGTGTGGAACGAGCCGCCCAGCCACTTTGTCATCAATGACTAATTGTCAGACTGGCTGGATGGGCTGGCTGAATGCCTCCTCTTGATCGCTAACGGTTCTCATCCGCGGTTCAAACGCTCGGGGAGCAGACCCGACGAGCTTTCTCCCACACGGGCGCGCCCATCTCTCGTTTTCAGAGCGCCCTGGTCGCGGCACATCCTGCCTTTCTTCAGCTGCTGTGTTCCTATTTCCAGCGGTGCTCCGCCGTGAATGAGCAGTCCCTCTCTGGTACTTCCACAAATTCAATTGTCAACAGCCTGCCCCTGACAGATGCAGCAGGAGCCCTGACACACAATGCATGGCCAAGGGCGAACGCTTTATTCTTTTTTTTTAACCTTTTCTCTGAAACATCTGAGTACTATTGTACAAGTATATCCCCCTCCGGATCTCTTATCTGCAGTGTTGCAGCCCCAGCTGCTCAGACTGCATCACACCCTCAGAGACTGCTTTGATTGACCCCTTCACCCCTGTCTATTTTCCCGGGCCTTGTTGTAATTTTTGGGGAAAGCTCTTTGAGATCATGCGCCCTCCGAGCCGCTGCCCTGTGGTCTCCCCCTGGCTCCCCGCTCGGCCCCGCCACTCACCTGCAGCTTGTCCAGCTCCTCCCTCTGCCTGTCCCGCTGCCCGGCCGCGCTCCTCTCCAGCGCCCCCTTCCTGGCGCGGGCCGCCTCCAGCTCCCTGGCCAGGCCCTGCGCCGCCAGGCAGCTCTCCCTCTTCTCCTGGCTCAGCCGGGCCAAGCGGGCCTGGGCCTGGGCCAGGGAGTCTTCCAGCCGGCCCAGCTGGCTCTGGTAGGAGCTGGCCGCCTCCCTCCAGGCCTGGGCCGCCCTCTGGGAGTAATCCAAGCCCAGGTCCCGGAGCTGGAGGGCCGGATCGGGCTGGAGAGCCGGCGCCGGCTGCGGGGAGGGCCGGGCGTGGGCCAGGGCGGCCCGGAGGAGGGAGACGTCCTCCTGGTGGGTCTCCGCCGTGAGCTGCAGCTCCTTCTCCAGCTGGGCCGCCCTCTCCCTCAGCCAGATCTGGGCTCTCTTCTCCTCCTCCAGGGCCCTCCTGCCCTCCGCCAGCCCCCTGCGGGCCTCTTCCTGGGCGGCCAGCTCCTGCCTCCTCCTGCCCTCCGCCTCTCCCAGCTCCTGGCTCAGGTGGTCCCTCTCCAGCTCGGCCCGGTCGCGGCTCCGCCCGGCCGCCTCCACAGCCTCGCGGGCCCGGGCCAGCTCGCGGTCCAGCTCCGCCCTCCAGGCCCCTTGCTCCGGCTGGTTCCGGTGCAGGGTGGCGATCTGGGCCCGCAGGAGCTCGTTCTCCTCCTCCAGGGCCTTCACGCGGGACAGGTAGCTCTCCAGGCGCTTGTTCAGGTCCCACATCTGCAGTTTCTCCTCCCCCGGCGGGGGGCGCGCGGCGCGGCCGGCCGCCAGCAGCTCCATGGTGGGGTGTCTCTCGGGCCTGCGGGGGACCTCTGCCTCTCTGCTCTCTCTCTCTCTCTCTCTGCGCGCCTGTCCGGGGGCCGAGGGTCCCTCTGAGTGTGCGGCTGTCCGTGAGAGCAGCGCCTTTCATAGTCTGATTCAGGCCGGCGTGGGAGGGGAGAGGAGAGGAGGGAGGGACGAGGGGGGGCCGGAGAAGTTTCGGGTTAACCCTCGCAGTGCTGGGGGCTAGTGCGCAGCAGCCCGGGCTCACAGGGAAGCAGTGTGCTGAGGAGGAGGAGGAGGAGGAAGATGATAGTGGTGATTAGCATTAATAGATATCATTCTATAAAGAGCTAAAAACATTTTTATTATTATTATTATTATTATTATAATTGATGATGGGGATGCTCAATTTGGATTGGATTTGCATGCAGTGGAGATCGGAAAGAATATATAAAAAAAGAGGTAGTTGTAGTTACAGCCCCCATTAAATGAATAAATGAATCGGAGCCTCGGAAGAACATGTCCCCGAGAAGAAGGAAAAGAGGTCTCCCAACAAGCACAGGCGCTGGTCCCCTCGGTCCCCGTCCGGAGATCGAACAGTTTCCGGCAGGACTGTTTCACCCGCTGTTCCGCAGCGCCCCCTGGTGGCAGCGCGGCCGTACTGCCCGTTGAAAAGCGCCGGCGGTTGGAAGCGCTTGGGGCTGCGCTAGAGGCGGGGGCTCGTGTCGGCGAACACGGATAGCGCGTGAAAAGGGGGGGTTTGGGGGGGCCTGGCTGAGGCTTTACGCGATATTCGAGGGCTGTTCCTTTGCGATCCCCGATTTAAAGGAACAAACGGGGATTCTGTTTCGTTTTGGGGATGTAAGAGCGCAGCCCGAGTCGGGTCACACAGCGGCCAGGGGCGATCGCAGCTGTCCGTGACAGGTCGGGGCTCTGCGGCCCCAGTGACGCCCCGGAGGGCTGACCCCTCAGACAGCTCCTGTGTGAAAGACGTAGCAAATCCATTGGACGGACTTTTGCACTGGATGCTTAACAAGTTTGAAAGAGTGCGCAATACCAGCTAGGTGAATTATGAACTGCTAAATTATTATTATGGGGGAATAAAATGCATTTTACAGGCAGCCCGGTGGCGCGGTTGTTCGGGTTTACTCCCACAGTCCAGAGACATGCTGGGAGGTTCATTGGCCCCGCTGTGAGTGTGTGAGGGTGTGTCTGTGTGTTGCCTGCCCGGTGCTTGTCTGGATAGGTTCCGGCATCCCCGCGAACCTGAACTGGGGGGAAGTGGATAGAAAATGGATGACTGGACAGATTGTGCGAGAATACTCGCATGTTTCTCATTCTCTACCGGAAGACTGCGATCATTTTAGAGAGAGACAAGCAGCAGGTAGATTAAGCTCGGCACACTATCAGTCCCTTCTGCGTAAGGTTCGAATTTATGAGCAAATAAGACAAAACTACGTCTGATGAGGAAAACAGGTGTTAGTCCGGCGGAGACCAGAGTTTCAACCTCGCTACGGCAGCGCCCTCTTGTGGTCACCTACCCACAAGGCGGTTTCCGACGGTCTCCAATCTCGCGAGTTTTGACCTGGACTGCGAAGACCCTCTGCTGTAAAAGCGGTTACTTTTCAGCCGGCAGGCAGATATCTCCCGTTAACAAGACGTTGGTTTTCCCAGTCCTTGTCCTGGTAGCCCCAGAGTTCTTGTGTTTTAGTTGGAGCTGAGCTCTTAATTACTTAATAGAGCTATTCACTGAATTAATTGCTGGAAATAAAACAGGCGTTTCAGGTTAACTCTGGGGATTCCGCTCGTTGACTTTCCTACTATTGTTTTGTACTCTTTACCTTAAAATCACGAGATAGTTATCTTGGGAATCCGGGAAGGCCTCGATATAAAAGGCGGTGTCTGTACTGTAATGCTCAAAGCTGTACAATTACGGATCGGAAGGGGAGAGGCACAGTTTGTGAAGCTGTTATTGTGTCATCATTTCCTCTGCGAAATCAGTGTGAAATACCGCCTGTTCCTATTCTTATCATGTCTGTGGGTTCATTCAAGGTGCACAAGTTCCATTTCTCGAAAAGCAAACTTATAAATGCAGTCAACCCATCAGTTAATGAATTAGACAATTGAATAAGAGTGCGCGGGACTGTGAAGGAAGTCCGACGTCAACGTCGATTACAATCGGCCAGTATAATCATGACCAGCCCTGGCACAGCGAATCTGAGCGTCGATTTTAACTACTCAAGACTCAACTACAGTGGAACTCAGTTATATTTTATTCCCACGGGTAGTAACCTGCTTAATCTGCACAATTGAATGTTGAACTTTCATCAAACGTGTGTTTCTCATGAGTTTATGGGTTCACGTTGTGTTATGTCATATCGAGTAGTTCAGGTGGGGAACTGCGTCAGCACGCGTAGGCTGCAAAGGAACAAGTTAAAGGTTTACTCCTGTGCTGAAAAGAGAAGAAAGGAAACAACTTTTCTGTGGAGCACCCAAAGACCCTCACTCCCGAAGAAGGCTCCACAGCCGAAACGTTGTGTTTCCTTTCTTCTCTTTTCAGCACATGAATAAACCTATCACCTGTTCCTCATCATATCGAGTGTTGCGTTTTGTCTTTTACCTGCCTGCAAAGCAAATTTTCCATCCGGGACAACGAAGTAAGTTAAGGTTTTAGTAAGGTAAATGAGAGAACCAGGTGCTCAGCTAGCGAGTTGGATTGGCCGCCCGTGTCAGCAGATACAGTATATCGGCACCTTTACCGTCATGAGTGAATAATACTTACAAAACACCACCTGTCTGCCAGCACCTCAGGTTACTGGAGGACAGATGCAGGCTACAGGTAGGACAGGGAAATAAAAATATCATGTAAGTACTGTAGGCGGCTGTAAGATCATTCCGCTTTAGAGATACACAGTTTCTGAACAGCTGTGTTATTTCCTTATTGTGCTATTTGGAAAAGGGGGAGGGTTTTAATCTGATTCAGGAAAGAGACACATCACGCAGTTAATTTTTTGAGTCGACGGCTGTGTTGCCCAGAGATCAGAGAAACTGGGGGGGAAACAGGTACAGAGAGAGAACGGAAGAGGACACGTTCGTCTGCTGAAAGGTACCGGTTTAAAATAAGTGTTAAAAACTGTTCTTCTTCCCGTTTGATGTTTTCTGTGTTCAATACGAATCTCTGGGGTCTTTCAATTCACTGGGAATAATGACAACACCCAAGATGAAAGCGTCATGGAGCGAACCCGCTTGGCTGAGGGCGTGCGTGTTAAGGAGGCCAGGACCCCCCATGCAGGGTGACCAAGGGGCAGCCGCAGAGGTGGAGGTGGGATGCAAGAGGCACGCAAGAGAGACACAGGGAGCTCGTAGGTATTTTATAGCGTTTGGGAGAGGAATGGATTGTCAGGGGCGATCGCTAATTACTGACAGCCGAGTCTGATTGAGGTTGTTGTCATTCCTTCCGAACTTTCGTTATGAACTCCATTAGTGGCTCAGGAGACCACGTTTGTCGTCGCTTTTATCTTATTTTCCCCAGACATCAGAGCTCAGAACCCTCAAACGGCAGCTGTAGAACGGAGAACATACTTCGGAAAAATAACGCCTCTTGTCACATCTTTCCCAATTACCTGTCCGTTGCGATAAACGTGAGCGGTACAGACTGCCTGTGAGCCGACACCTTCGGCTGGTTGAATGAACGCGCACACGGTATTTATTATTGTCTGTATTAATTCCACACCTGACACCCTGCGTGGAATGGCGCGCGTGTATTGATTAACCAGCGGGACCCGCGGTAATTGTATAAACACGTCACGCCGGCCAAGTGCTATTATAATAAGTGAACGCGCTTATCAGGTTGTTTTATCGTGGGGACAGAGTAGCCGGGAAACTAATGCGATAACTAAGGTTATTACTGCACCTAAGCCTTAAATGCAACGGCAAGTTTAACCGAATTCGTATACTGTACCTGCGATTAAGAACATGAGAACAATTAAGACGAGGCCCATCCGAACTCGTTTTCCTGTAGCTGTTTGATTTGAGACTCTCATCATCCTGTTTCATGAAATAAACAACATGACAGGGGAACTTGTTCCCTACTCCCACAGCCCTTTGTGTAAAGGGTGACACCCCCCGTTTTTGGTTTTTAAATAGAAGTCTATGTAGTTTTCACCTACGTACTGAAGCAATAATTCCAAGTCTATGATGGCTATCTTAGAAGGTCCTGAAAAACCAACACAAAATCAACGGTACAATAAAAATCGATAACAGACGCGATCATCAGGGCGAAACGTTCGCTTAAAAACTTGGGGGGAAGAAAGTCGCTCTTTGAAAAGGGCTATTCTCTAAAACTGTAGAAGAAATCTTTACAATTTTCCAAAACGTGCCAAGATCGACCTGTATATCCTTTAAACAGAACCGGTTTTCCAGGTGACACTCAAGCGCAATGTTTGTGTATCGGTGCAGTTTATTCAACACCTCATTTCTGGGATAAATGAATGGAGAGATCGGTGAAGACGAATCAAACTGCTGATATAACGATACAATAGCATATACTGTGGTATAAGCCTTTTTTTAAAAAAAAATCCACAAATCCTGGGAAAACAGTGCATTGTGTCGATTTATTGCCATAAAATATTTATTTCCGTCCCTTTTAAAAGTAACTGAGGGTTTGGAAATAATCAAACTTGCCTTTTCCGACAGTTCTGATTTTGCAATTGGGGTTTAGGAAATAACAAAACTCCGTTCTCGGCAGTTCCGATTTTTTTTTTAACATTGCGTTATTAACCCTTTACAATTTCTTGCATTAGGAATTTGTCTTTTCGCATACCCCAGCTTCCTCTCCATGAGACACACAGACAGGGAGAGAAGCTTGGGGTCAGAGCGCAGGGTCAGCCATTGTACAGCACCCCTGGAGCAGTTGGGGTTCAGGGCCTTGCTTAGGAGCCCAACAGAGTAGGATTCCTCTGCCAGCTGCGGGATTTGAACCAGCAACCTTCCAGCCACAGACGCAGATCCTGAACCACAGAGCCACAGCTCCGCTCCGTTTGACAGTAAAACTTAGATGCCTCGCTAGAACTGGCCGTACCCGTCCACTGGGATCATTTCATTTTTACTATCACCTAACACTTCAGTACATTGTGGAATTGGATAATTTACTTATCCATTATTTCCGTAACATGCAACTTAATATTAACTATGTTGAATCACATTTCAATTTAACAATGCTCAGCAGGAGTTTCAGATAAAGCAAAATGATATGTGACTATATATAAAAAACGAGAATTATACATCTACAAAATTCAACTACGCTTTGCCACCTAAACGTACAGTTTCTGTATAGAAAAGAAAAATAAATATAGGGTCTTTTACTGGGGATAACGGGGATGTTAGGTCAATTTAAACAACCACATAATTAATATGTTTTGTAAGAGTCTGGGGATTGCACGGATCAGGGACTGCAGGTCAAACGATGGTAGTGTTTTCGCCTTGGTATCAGCCAGTTAGGGATATTCATCATAAGCGAAGATGTTCTGCACTGGAAAAGGTTTGAAAACGCGCTGTTAAGACTTGAATATCTTTATATTCGGGATCCTAAAGGCAATTTTTCTCTTTCTAACCGGCACCAAGAGTCGTAGCGCTCCTATGAGGGGTTCGTATATCTGACGCTGAAGAGCGAAATCCTATACAATACAAACTCCTAATTACCAGGTCTTATAGCCATCTTTAATCTTTGTGCACTCCTTCTACGTCAGTTAAAAGCTCATTTCGTTGAGTGAACACCTGATACTAAATGGCGGAATGCAGCTGACTGGAAAGAGTTGAGTTGGGTGCATTTTGTCGTTCCGTGAGCATCAGAACACAGAGTAAAAGATTTACCAGCTTTATCTAAATCCGTATGATCGTTCGCTTGTCGATGTTGTAATAATTAATAGGCCTTCAGGGAAATTCCGTGACACATACGGTAAATCCTTATGGGTACAAAGTTACACCGCGACTAAGGCGGACAGATTTTACAGGTTTAATACAGGTTTTCTCTTTTTTTTTGCCCACTTCTTAGTTGCCCTGGAAGGGGAAAACCCGGCCAGGCCCCCCAGTTGCGTTAAGGGGTTACCCCCCCCCCACCCCAAGGGGCGTCGGGTTGTTAACCCCGGACGGGGGGTTTGTGCGACATTAAGTTCATCAGCAGGAAAAGACCTGGAAGCTTCTTGTGAAATTTACAGAATTAAATCGACGCAGAAGGCACTCACAGTTAATCTTGTTCACTTAACACAATACCCATCCATTTTTCAACCGACTCATGCAGTTCAGGGTCGGTGGGGAGCCTATCCCAGGGTACACTTCACAGGGTACACCCTGGAGAGGAGGCCAGTCCATCACAGGGCACACGCGCTCACGCCAGACCGAGGGACCATTTGAGGACGATTATGCTGTGTTAAGTTAGATAGATAGATAATACTAATTATAGATAGATAGTTAGTCCCGTAGGGAAATTGATGTGTTATAGCAGTCCAGCCCAAGACGAGCAAAAACAGACATCAGAATAGTTATAAAACAAAAGACAACAAAATAAATAAAAATAAATACATAAAAAATAAATACATAGGTGTGTGCAAAATGTGATGATCATAGTCACTGTAAAAACAATAAAATATGTGCAAAATGTCCATAGGTTTATACAGACTGATTGTCCAAAAAGTACAATGGAGCAAACGTGCTGTCCATAGACGAGTCGGGATGGACTGAGTGTGTGTTTGTAGATAAACCAATACAGTACAGAGGGTCAATTTGTTCATTATTCAGGATCCCAGCCATTCCAGCCTCAAGCTGTTCTCCCAGCTGTGCTCTGGCAAGCAGTACTGGATTATCAAAGCACAGGCCACTAGGCTTAGGAACTGCTTCCACCCTACTGCAGCGTGAACCATAAACAGCTCATGCTTCAGTTCACCTCTGCACTCTGCACTGCTCTCATGTATCTATTGTCCTGTGTGCTTATTGTTCTGGGCTGTGTTGTCTGCTGTAGTGTGTATGTCCCGACAGAACAGCGCGAATAATCAATCAATCAATCAATCAAAGTTAATTTATCAAATGGACAACAATACAGCGTGCAGCAGTAGTTGCTGGCAATGAAATGTCTTTTCTATGAGTTACAAAGTAAGGTTACATAATGATAGATAGTGCAAAAGAAATTGAATAAAATGAACTCAGACTAAACTCAATATGAATAGAGCTGCTATGTGTCAAGGGTGTATGCAGTATATTATGTCCAAGTAGTGCAGTGTGCCAATTACAATGAAAACTGTATGTCCATGTAGACATTAGGCTTTTCATTGTATCCCATTGTACACGGACATATGGCGAATAAACCCCCTCCTCTCCAGAAAGTCCTGCCACAGCCCAGAGCATGGCCACCTCCACCACCACCTCCAATGGAATGACAATCATCACCCAGGTCTACCCACACGGCTGCAGCTCTGTGTCCGCTGCTGTTGCCCACACAGCGGGGGCGCCATCCTCCATTGCCCACTGCGAGTTGCCCACAAAACTGCGGCGCTTCCTGGCCGGAGAGCCCAAAGCCCTGGGGGTAAGAACAAACAGTTTTTCCATCCATCCATTTTCTAACCAGCTCTTCATCCAAATCAGGGTTGTAGGGGAGCTGGAGCCTATCCCAGCAAGCAACAGGCACAAGGCAGGGTACACCCTGGACATTATGCCAGACCATTGCATGGCACAGTCACATTCACACCAGACCTTGGGCCAAATTTCTCAGAAGACAATTAACCTACCAGTATGTCTTTGGACTGTGGGAGGAAACGGGAGCACCTGGAGGAAACACACATGGAGAGAACCTGGAGAGAACATGCAAACTCCACACAGACAGCACTCCTGATCTGGACGTGAACTCAGGGCAATGCTGACCACTGCAGCACCATGCTGCCCACATCCAGTATAACTCACCTGAAAAAACGTAGGAAGTCAAGAGCCACCAGTATCCTGGCAGTTTAATGTTGTCTTATACGATTCTGAGGAAGAACTCGTTTAAGACTCATCTGCAGTACATCTGCCTGCAGATGCTTTGTGTGAGTCCATGTCATTCTCGCAGTCAGTTCGTTAGTGTTGCTGGAAAAGAAACAGTTTGTGTGAGGATCTTTGGAGGCATTTG